TGTGCCCACCTAATCTGCATCACCTTCTCAATTTTTCTTTCTCTTTCTCTCTCTCTCTTTTTTTTATTTTTTTGTTGTAATTATCCGTTATTTATACCCTTTCTTTCTTTTTGTCGCCTTATGATTGGCCAGTTTGTTTGTTGGCCTGTTTATCGAATGGTTGGGTGATTGCATGTTTTAATATCATAAACATGGCGCATGTTAATATTTACGTATGTACAGAAAAAAAAACGGCGGAAAAAATAATGCGCGTACAAAGACAAGCCCAGTGTCACAGCCCAGGAACTAACCAAGCCCCGAATATTATTAATGGGTTATTCTACACCAGGCTATTTTATACCCGGGGTAAAGTTAAGTGCGACCTGTTTATATCCTCTGGTATAAAACTGTCCAAAATATCCCCCATCTAATAAGACGTTTTTTATTGCATCAACAGATAATATTATGGCGCATCTAGTATTATATGTCCGCAGATGTTTATCGTGTAGCATTATACGACCTTCAAATTTATTCTGGTTCTTTGGTTTGCACATAGGTCTAACTTTTGAATGTTGACTGATTTGGGATAAAAATAAAAGAGTGGTCATTTTTGTAACTGACCATTATTGTTTTGTGTGGACAGTCTAAATATAACAAAAGAATTACCTGATTAATGTTGAATGAGTTCATATTAGCCATTATTTTTAGTTCGTCGGCTGGTATCATCACATAACATCTTAGTTAAGAAAAATAACTGTTGATGCTTCTGATAATAAAAGTGGGTATAAACTGGCTTAGTAGGAGTATAGTTTAGACTAGCCTGTTTTATACCCAGCGGTATAAATTAGGCCTGCCTCAATCACCCCCGGGGTTTATTCTGAATTCTAAACTATACCTGGATATATTCCGGGAGCAGGTTAACCTGGGCTGCTACACAGGCAAAAGTTATTTTCGATTAATAATGACAGTTTTTAACCAAAAAAATCTATAAGTAATGAGTAAATTGTGATTTTATTTATCCTCAGTTCCATAAATATCAATTTGGACCGGTCTTATAAATGGGATATTTTTTGTTTCCCCACGATGCCGGTGATCGGTGTTCAAATCCTGGCAAAAATCAGGATTTCAAATACTGATTTTTGAAGGAAGGCAAGTCCTTCTTACTTAGAAGGCTGGCGCAATACGATCTTCCTACTCTTATTTATTACCATTGCTTTGTGTTATAGTAAGATAAATTTGGCAAATCTGAATATAAATATTCCCCTTAAAATTATGCATTTGTCAGCTGTGAGCATCTTTTAAAAAAAAATAAACACGAATCATTTAACTTTTAATAAAAATGTTTGCTCAGGATCATGTTACATATTTATATAAATATCTGCGTATGTCAGTTGGCATATATATATATATATATATATATATATATATATATATATATATATATATACACACACATATATATATATACATATATATATATATATATATATATATATATATATATATATATATATATATATTAAATAGGTGACAAACAGGAAAATCTTTTTAAGTTTAATATGTTTTTTATAATTTAACAGTCTTTGGAACTGAAATAATAACTTATTAAAGATTTTAAATTCTGTGTTTTGTTTTCATTGGTTAAGAAGACATCACGTGTATATCTTATGGCGTTTTTGTTTATGCATGTATGAATTTTTAAATTCTATGCTTTCTTGACTTCATTGGTAGTGTCGGCGTCACGTGTATATGTTATGGCATCTGTGTCTATGTTTCATTCTTGTGATACTAAAGATTTAAATTTATTTTAAAAATTGGGTTGTTTAGTCCGTTTTAATTATCTGATAGATGTGAAGAATACTTGAAAGAGACGCCTAAATACTAGGTTAGGCGATCTGTACATTTACACGGGACGTGCAAGCAACCTATGAAAAACCGCATAAACATAATTTTAAAATCGGCGCACACGTCGACACAACTAATGAAAACGAAGCAACGTTGGATTTAAAAACGTAGATATATATAGACACAAACAGCATAAGATATACACGTGACGTCGACACAGCCAATGAAAACGAAACATTATAAAATTTAAAAATTTATACATACTCTATATTATTTCTCTTACGAAAATATAAATTTACTACTTTTCTTTATATAATCATTCAATATATATATAATACATTTTACTTTCTTATATATATATATATATATATATATATATATATATAATAACAAGGTAAAATGAGAACAAATGGAGTATGATTCCACTCTACGTAACATTTAATTTAAAAGAGGGCTCAATACATAGTAGAGCTAAATACTATTTCTTTTAGGATATTGAAACATGTTATGTCATGTTTTAATATCATAAAATAAATTTTATATATATATATATATATATATATATATATACAAACAAGTCTGATTAAACAGAATAAACAAACGTCTGTTTAATTTTTTTTATTCTGTATTTCTAATTTTCGAATAAGGTGTTCAGTATTGTACTCGAAGTATTGGATAAACTGTCTGAAGTCGGTGCTGTGTTGCACTTTCAGACGTCTCAGTCGTTTTCAAGAAAGAATGTGAAGCCTTTGTGATAGACAGAATTCCTTTGGCAAGATCCTGGTATTCTGTGAAAAGCTGGGAAAATACAATAAAAAAATTAAAAATACAAGCTTTATCAGTTCTTTTTAATCAAACTTGTTTAGATGGATACATGCTGCATAAATATATAAATATATATATATATATATATATATATATATATATATATATATATATATATATATATATATATATATATATATGTATATATATATATATATATATATATATATATATATATATATATATATATATATGTGTGTGTGTGTGTTGTGTATTTTATTGAATACTTCTTTCATTCAACAGGAAATTGATATGTTTAACAAAATGTGCATATATATATATATATATATATATATATATATATATATATATATATATATATATATGAGTATATATATATGTATATCTATGTATATGTATACATATATGTATATACATAGGTATATGTATGTATATATAAATATAACATTTAAAAGTAATAAAAATCAAAAGTCCATTATTTTAAAAACGTAAATATTTATATGTAAGCATTTATGAATATATATGTGTGTGTATGTATATATATATATATATTTATATATATATATATATATATATATATATATATGCATATATATGTTATATGTATATATGTATGTATATATATATATATGTATATATATATATATATATATATATATATATATATATATATATATAAAACATGTAAACTAAAAAAGATAAATATCTTGCCAATTCTCATTTAATCATTTTCAAACAATTATAATATATATATATATATATATATATATATATATATATATATATATATAGGAGATCATGCACGATTCCGCTACCTTGATTTCAACCTTTCGGTATCTCCATATCGATTTCGGCCAATTCTTAACCTTTTATTTTTTTTTTAAATCTTATGAACGCTATATTATTTAAAATAAATAAATCAATAAGCGCACGATCTCAATATAGCGTTCAGAAATGAATTGCCGGAAATCGCCTGAACTGGAAAAGTTGAAACCATGGTAAATTTCATGCTTAATCCCCAATTTTTACATACCATATATATATATATATATATATATATATATATATATATGGGGTGGTTGTAAACATGCCTACATCTATGAGTGTACTTATATAAGTATAACTACATTGATGTTTATATATATAATTAAATACATTTATTTAAATATATGCAAAAGTATTTCCAATTTATATATAAATAAAAACATTACATTGAAATATACAATTTTTTTCATATGGGTCTTCAGCTCGTAAAGTAAAATAATTATTTCCTTTACAATGTTTACCAATCGGGTGGAAGCCCCTAGCAGTGTCAAATTGAAACCAGTGACTATTTTTCTCTCAAACTCCTTTACTTAAATACAAAAATAATGCTATATATCGATATATATATATATATATGCATGTATGTATGTATGTATGTATTTATTCTCTTAAATTGACCAGTATATTTAAAAACAAAATATTTCAGTATCTACTTCCTCATATATATATATATATATATATATATATATATATATATATATATATATACGTTATTTTAGTGGATACTCGAAATAGACGCCCCGATTATTTTATCTTTAAACTGTGTGTACTTCGTCTGTCGGCCTGCGCACTCTTGAAAACTTAGATTGTCGGAATTCACACTGTTTAAAAATAAAATAAAAAAATGAGGCGTTTATTTCAAACACGGGTATCCACAAAAATAACTTTTGAAGTAATAAAAATTTCGGATTAACAATAAATCCATTAATTCTTTTATATATAATGACACGACAAATGCTAAAAGAATATACATGCCACAAGCAGGAACCAACATTTCAAGAGCAGATTTAGTCACTGAATGTATATAGCTAATATATTAAACCATAAAACTTCACTGCGCACACACTTACACACATTTAAATATACATACACATGTATGTATGTATTTCCAGAATACTCGGATTTCGAAAGAAATGGTAAAAAGAAATATTCGTAAAAGTCATGTTGCAGAACATCCAGACCATATAGGTGTCACGCATGACCTAAGTTGCGATGTTTGTGGCAGGATTTGCTTGAGTAAAGCTGGAAAAGTAAGTCATATGCGAAGTCATCGGACCAGAGTACCAACCAACTACAAAATGATATTGAGTACTTAAAATTCCTGTCACTTTTGCGGAAAAGCTTGCAAATCAGCTGGTGAGCTGAAGAGACATTTTCCAAGCAGACTGCCTAATTCCTGAAAATGTATGCTTTTCATACATGCTAACTTAGTGTCACATTTTAAGATTTTTAAAGTCTAAAGAGCCATATTCGTTTAAAGCACAACGAGGTCTATTAATGGTAATACTCGACAATGATGTGATTTCTATATATATATATATATATATATATATATATATATATAT